GTGTCAGTAAGTTTTTTCCGTCTGTCAATATCTAATGATTGCAGATTGAGATTCAAATGTGTAGGTGCACGTATAGAGTTATTGGTGATACATTGAAAATAACCACCACTAGCAACAGGTATTTTAAATCATGGCACAACCGTGCAATTTTGAAGATAGATTCATAGACGATACGTCTAGATATTCAGATATTGTAATCTATGACACAATTTTACAATCTTGCGGAAGATTTGTCAATGTGCTTACAATGGGCGATGTCCAGATACTCTATCCTAGGACACGACTGTTCAATCACACGGATGGACATATCGATTATTCTTCCATTTCAACGGATATTGAGATATTTCAGGTTAGGGTATGGATGAGCAATATTAATAAGTGCCGTATTGCTAAGTTTTCTAACTATTCTGAGATCTAGATGGACAATGTTCAGACATGCGTGTATAATTTCTCATAATTTTTTTATTTTAAGTCTGTAGCAGCTCATAATTTCAAGATGCCTTAGTTTGGAAATATGTATAATGAATTTAATCAAGATTCCATAACCAAATTCCTCACGAGCATAACGCAATACATACACTAAAAAAGATGAATATTTCAAAAAACCCCTCTGTCACGATAAAGTTTAGATCCTAATCTTTAAAAGGTAGGATAGAAAGCGACTTCTATTCTTTCAAATATCACGTGTAAAAATTGATGGTTTAAGAGACCTGCGCCATGCAACTATATAATAATAATTAAATATTATTCATCAATCTGGATTAGGTCAACGGGTGATTAGTCGGACGACATTTCACAGTCACTGATTTTAATATATGATCGACATACACGTTTTCTGTACAACGGATTTGACGAATGAATTGAACATAAACTCAATTTTTGTAAAAACAATCACGCATCTTTGACTTTTAAAACGCAAGATTTATGCGTCTGTAGCTCTTCCGGTTATGAGTAATGGCCTCTCAAAGAAACCTATGATTTTTGGCTTCAAAAGCTTAATTCTTTTCGGACATCAGCCCTATTAAGATCGTTTTAGCCACATCGAGAACTTTCAGAAAACATATGGTTTGTATGGGTTTCTTGAAGAAGGAAGAAATTAAAAGCAAAAATAATGATAGTAATATAATAAATAATAATGTTATTTTCACTAACAGGAATGAATGATAATCACGAACCCAAAGAATACTCTTTTGAGGCAAACTTTGGTTCTTACTGATTTCTCCATGCGAGCTCGCGTTCACTCTACTTTTCTACGTTATTTTTATGTATCAAATGATAAAAATAATTAAAACTCATTTGCAATCAATTACTTAATTATCAACCTCATCCATTGATATACGAGTAAAAATACCCAATAAGTCTTCCTAAAAAGTTTTCATTTTTTAAAACATGGAAATAAACCCGTTAGCATTATCAGTATTACAATAAACACGCCAACTTAGACTATATTAATATAGGTACCGGTTCATCCGAAAAAAATATTTTGTTGATCGTTAATTCTCACAATCAATCGCATCGCATAGAACATGAATGCTATTGGGGAACATGCAACAAAGAATATTTTTCATATGTCGCCGTGACAAGACTAGGTTTCACACATGGGGTCTGGACAATAGAAAAAGACCATAACGTGAAAAAACCAAATTTGAACTAACGCCATTCCTATATGTAACTCTTTGTGTAGAACATTCTTGGCTTAGAAATTATGTCCACTTTGCATAAATATTATTCTTCAAACTTTTCAAAACATCATTTTCCTTTTTTATTGTCTAGACTCACATGTGATGTCAATAATGGAGTTTTTTCATCTGGGAACTAGGACTATTTTAGACAGTATTTAAGTCTTTTCAATTTCGCTTGAAACGACAAAACTTTTTGTACTCTATTCAAAAAAAAAAAAAACTGGCATATCACTAAAAAAAAAAAAAAAAAAAAAAATGCAAAAATACAAAGTTGGCGGTACGTTTCATCATTTCGCCTTCCATACCAGTTTTTTTCGGTTGCATGCATTAATATTATCATTTCTCCATTAATCAGATAATATCGAATACATACAACCTTCCGAACCCAATGTTAAGAAACAGGGCATCATTAAAAAATTGGTCGGTGATGACGCCTACTCTGTCGATCCCAAAGATAAAACTCATACAATTGGTAATAAAACCAAATTCGACTTAGATTAAACATATATTGAACGTTTGTTAGTAATAGTTAATAAACGTCTAACTTTTGATAAAACTGCCATCTTAACAAAATGTTTAAATTCATTTTTTTACTTGTCAATAGCTTGTTTTGTTATAG